GGTTGCGGTCTGTTGTCTTCTGATGCATATTGTTTGGTCGTCTGACTTTAGTGTTACAGCTATAATTCGTGGGCTGATGTAGTGGCATTCCTTTATATAATTTTGGTATCTCGTGCTGCTTGCCATTGCAACACCCTCTCTTGCTCTTTCGTGCTTCTCAACTCACAATATATTCTGCGTATTTTTTTGGCTTCTTCCTTTCATCTTTGTTTTCTGTAGGGCGCTTATATCGATCTTGTTATCTGTTAGTTCTTTTAGAATTTCTTGGTGTTTGTAAGTATAATCTCACATTCCAAGTGATCCTTCTTCCTCCAATTCGTTGTCCGTTTTCTCGTATGGGTCGTCGTGCTTATATCAGTCCAGTTCCGACGCAAGTGTCCGTTTCTGTAAGCTTGTGGTTTCTTTTACCCAGGGTTGGGTGCTAGAGTGATCCTGGAACTTTCCTCCTTTATCCGGACTTAGGACCGGTAGCATAGCCATCAAGCTACTCAGTTCACCCAATGACCATACAGGCAGAATTATTTTAGAAACTGATTGGTATATTCTAAATAAACAGGAATTTTCCTGGGTGACTACCACTCGCTTGCGTTATCTCTTCCCCTGCAGAATCTTGGGTTACGATAATAATGATTTGTATATTGTTAAATGTTGCCGCTTCTTTTGTGTCTAGGGAGTTTTCATAAGGTTTCCCCTTGCTTTTTTTTCTTCCTCATTCCTTCATTTCCCCTGCTACACAATTGTCTACCTGCTAGAGGCTGCTGAAGGCAAAGAACTAGAATACGCTGAATCACCAAAGTATCTGGGTGTAATCTTGGATAGAACACTAACCTACAAACAGCACTGCCACAAAACCAGACAAAAAGTAGTTGCTAGAAATAGCCTTGTACAAAAGATGGCCGGAAGCAAATGGGGTGCAAAACCTCAAGCCTTGAGAATATCGGCGCAAGCCCTCTGTTTTTCAACTGAAGAATATACCTGCCCAGTTGGGTGCAGATCAAGCCATGCAAAACAGGTCGATATCGCCTTAAACCAAACCTGTAGGATTATTACTGGCTGCATGAAACCAACACCAATCAATCAATTGTACAACGCAGCGGGCTTCGTAGAACCAAGCGAAAGAAGAATGGGTATAGGACACGTAGAAAAAATTAAGCAAACCTTCGACGATCGCCATGTCCATTATTGCCAAGAACAACAACGGAAAAGACTCGAAAATTTTCTTCAGTGTGCCACCGTGGAACCGCCCGACAACTGCCCTATCAACGAAAGCCCCTGTGCAGGGTCAAAATTGGACTGGAAGACAAACAGTGCCTCTGTGAATGTGGGGAGGTACAAAACATGGGCCATCTGCTGGGATGCACATTATGTCCTGCAACGTGCTCCATCGATGAGATGTGGATTGCAAATGAAAATGCCATAGACGTAGCCCGGTACTGGGCAGAAAGATTTTGAATGGAATGATTTCTCGACTCGGACTCGAAAAAGTAAAGTAAAAGTAGTAGTCTACCTGCTACCCCCACCTAGAGCTGGAGGATTCAAAATGACTTTGTGTGTTGTGAGTATATTTTCTGTGTATGCTAGAGCATTTCCTTAAGACGACAATTCTTGCTAGATATCTCAGACAAATAAATAAAATCCAGAGAAGCGTCTTCGATATAATTTGGCTTGTTGGAACGGTTGAAACTTCCGCTTCGTACAAGTATTGGAAATCTAATAAATCGGAAAATTCGATGCCTTTGTTTAGTTAAGCAATAAAGTTGCGAGGATTGGCGGTTCTATGGAGAAGTTAAATGGCCGGAATGTGTCGGAGAAGATGCCTGCAATAAGGTAACATTCCAAGCGTGAAATAGAACTTAATAAGAGTGATGCCTAAATGGGTACAGGGCACATTGGCTCTTGTCATGCTGGTTAAACCAGGATTCTAGGATCATTTTTTTACGTTCTTGCTATTTTTATCAGAGGAAAAATATATGGGTTTTTAACAGCAAACCTAAATTACTATGAAAATTGTTATCGTTGTTGCCAACATTTTTAAAAGTTACTTTTTTACGCAAAAAATACATAATCTTGACCAGAGCTTTAATAAAAAAAACTTCTCTAAATATACAAAAATAAATTGCCATCCATTCAGGGGAAATTAAGAATTGAAAAATATATCGCTTTGAATATTTTTTTTGCTTTTCATCGCCAAAAGCCGCTTTTTATGCGAAAATTTATCTAAATAGCATGAATGGGAAATAATAAGATTACCTTTTCACGCGATAATTGACCCAAATTATGGTTGGGTGGTGAAAAAGGACGGTTTGACAAGCGAAAGCTTTTCCATTCAGTCCGGTAGAAGCATGACAAAAACTGTTCTCAGGCTTTGCACTGCTCTTGCTTACTAAATATATTTGTTTATTATTTTTCTTTTCTATCGGGGTTGCGTCATTCAAAATAAACAAGTGTTTTCGCGTTCAGACATGTGTGTAATTCGACTGATAAGTTATGCATTTCTTTGTGAAACGCCTATTTGCAAAAAGTTTTCTTTTTTTGGTTAATCATTTTCTGACTTAATATTAAACATCGTGAGGATCAATGTTCTCATTATCAACATAATGAGAACATTCAATTTGGCGTTACCTTACCTACATTGTCTTCTATCTGCACTCTTAAGCGCTTGAAACTTTTCATTCACTCATTAAAACTGTACGTCGTTTTTACCTAAGTTTTAAATGTTTCTTCTTGTTCCACTTCACACATTTTGGTTTTAGGCTTTCAATCCCTCTCTCTAATCCATTATTTAAAAAAATGTGCTTAGACCCTGAGAAGAGCCAAGATTCATAGAAATCGAACTTGAATAATTACAACGCAATTATTCTATGCTCCATGGTCACTTTTTAAATTCTTCTCAAACATTTCACCTTCAGTGCTTTGAGAATATTTATATATTATAACATAATGACGACATTGAATGTGGCTTTACCTGAACTACACTGTTTTGCATCTGCTCTCTTAAGCGCCTAAAACCATTAATTCTCCTATTAGAACTGTAATTTGTTCTCATCTGATTTTTTATTTCTTCCTCTTGTTTGACTTCACGCACTTTAGTGTTAAGCTCTTAATGCCTCTCTCTAATCCATTATATTTTGGCCCTGTACGTCGGAGTCCTTAACCAAATGCGCTAATCATATTTCTGTATATTACTTGTATCTGTCATCGTCACTTTGAATAATAATTATTACATTCTACTCATAATTCTTCTCTCTGCCTTACGCCGTTCATTATCCCAAAACTCGCTGCTCTTTTTTTGACTATTTCTATGATTGTTCCATCCTTTTTCTTAGCTTTTGTTGCAACCTCTTAAAAATCTATGAATTATCAAATGAGTGTTGGCTGCATTTTGTAGAGCAAATTCGCTTCTATTAGTGGACACAGTTTTGATTCTCAGTCATCATCAGAAGATATTTTTAATTTTTTATAAATTGCATTTAGTTTACGACTTTGTTTTTGCTGGTTATTCGTTCAAGTACTCACGGAGTAAGAGAACTGTTTATGACTGTATTTTGTGAGGCAAAGTCCGTTCCGCAATTGAAAAATTTTTCGATTTCCACTCATCATCAGGCCATTTTAAAGAATTTTTGGGCATTTTTGCTAACGCGCATATTGTTTTATTTTATGTTTATGTTATCATTATTTTTCTCTGTAAATTGCGAAGTCCGAAAATGAGTATGAAATGCATTTCGTATCGCAAATTCGCTTCTATAGCGAAGAAAAATTTCGGTTTTGATTTTTCAACATTGCAGTTAGTTTACGAGGTTGTTTTTGCTCATTTAAACATAATTTATTTCAGTTAAGTATACATAAACTTCTTACTGCTACTTACTCTACGGATCCTTAATGCTAACATCGCTAGAGTGTCTAATACTCTGTGTGTCTTAAGATATCTCATATAACTAAATCTAAATTAACCTAAGTACCTAATCTAAACCTAAACCTAACAGCCTCTCTTGCTTCCTAT